AAATTATTTATTCCTGTAAATTAAATGGCACTTCACCTTCATTTCGTCTGGTAGAAAAAAAAGTTATGGAAACAAAAGAAATGGAATAATGTATATGTAGTAAAAATAGCACTATCGAATTGTTCAGGTGAAGTGGGGAAACTTTACCTAATGTTGGTGTGTGCATCTTACAATTTACAATCCACAAATTTGTTTAATACAATTGGAGTTACATGGTAATCTGTCTTCATTATTTGTTGTCTTTGTTTTGTTTTCTTTTTTTTTACTTTTTTGTTTTGTTTATTACTGTATTTACTGTATTTATTAAAGTCCTGTAATGTTTTGTTTATGGGTAATAAAAAATATTTATCAAGCCCCCGAGGTGCACCTGGAGGCCAATTGTTTATTTTATTTCTACCACAACAACATACAACATGTATTTGGTTTGTGTTTTCATTGATCAGATGTGAAGTAAAGAGGTCAAACGCGGAAAAATAATACTAGTACAATAACATTACAACAAAATATTGTAGTGCTCAGTCTACTAGAATAATATGCTAGGCATATAATAATATAAGTGTTGTCGATGATCATGGTTATACACATCGATGTGTTAGATATTTAGTTGTACCACAAACAATATCACCCATAACATGTATATCCACTGTGTCTCCTCAATAATAGTATGATGTGTCACTACACTAAAATAATTATTGATCAAAAGTGTTATACATTAATTCATTATAATTAATTACGCGGCTGAGCCTAAGTAAAAGAAATTAAATTAATTGACCGATATTTGATCCTCTATCACTTACAAAATTCACTTATTAATGTCAATTTATGGTTGTCAAATAGCACGCTTCTGTCGGGGCTTCTGTGAAGTAAAAAAGATATAGATATATCGTTAGACGCCCAGCCCAAAATGAATCGATGATATTGCCATTATATTATTCTGGATACTAGTCAGCATAATTTGTTGTAATTGATCGATTTAAATAAACTGTATTTATTTATTTATTTATTTATTTATTTATTTATTTATTTATAAATGAAATTTCATGAATACGATATTGATCGCTGTGTTCATGTGAGAAGGTTGACTCCTCATAAAAGGACCAACGCAAAGGATTGGATCACTGTTTTAAGAACATGTCTGCTTATAAACCATTGTGCACACACTGGTCGTCAGAGGTAACTGTCTTCGCTATATTCAAATTGCAACCCTACGGTTGCTGTGCCTTCATGTAAAAGGGACAGTCGTGAAGACAACTGATCGGCGAACTAGTTTCAAGTCATGCATCGACATTGTCGCCGTCTCAGTTGCCGGGACGCGTTCAAAACCACACGGTTCCGCAAGGTGAAGTTGTATTTATTCGCTGCGTCAATATGCCTTTGCTTTCTTGTTATATTGCTTCAATTGTTGAGTTGGTATTCCTCATTGAAGATGGCCGATCATGAACAGATGACAATATGGGTGACACAATCGGACAGAGAAAGCAGAAGTATTGAAACAGATCGACAATTGGTATTATCACGATTGCAGGAGTTGACTGAAAAGTTGTTGTTACCATGAAGAGGAAGTATAACTAACATCAACCGAACGAGGCGTGTCAGTGTTCTGAGAACGAAGACAGAATTCGTTCTAACAAAAGAAAATGCGGACATTGGAAGTCAAGTCAACCTGACCTTGCGAAAGATGGATAAACTCAAGATGAACAGGAACATGTACAAGCATTTGCCAAAGACACTTGAATTATCGCATTACAACACATGTAGTGTCGTTGAGAACAGTGGTATACTTCTAGGCAGTGGTTGTGGGAATGCTACTGACCATGCGCAGTTTGTGTTTAGGTGTAACCTAGCCCCAATTACACCATATATTAAAGACGCAGGGCGGAAAACCAGTCTGACAACGCTAAATAAATCAATTCTAGATAAAAGATATGGCGGGCTACATCGGTATAATCTAACGAGATTTGGCCGTGCTCTGAAAGATTACTCAGGATACATTTGGATACCTCTCCACTCGAATCTGGATCGCATTCCAGTCACGCTGACGGCCGCATACCTGCTACGAATTGGAGGACTGCAGGTGTTACTCATGAATCCAGATCACTATCTTGGAATGCAGAACTATTGGACTTCTCACGGTATCACGGGTTTTCTCACAACAGGTTTTTATATGACAATGGTTGCTATAGAAATGTGTGACACGGTTGACCTGTACGGATTTTGGCCTTTCAATACTACTGGCACTGGGAATGAAGTCAACTATCACTATTACGACGACTTCGTTGGCACAAAAGCTCACAATTTCTCGGCGGAATTCTCCGTTTTAAACAAGCTGCACCACGACGAAATCATCAGAATTAATATCAGAAAATGCCAGAACAGTGCAGTCAACAGTAATAATGTCTCAACTGAAAAGTCCACAAAAGTATAATAATGCTAACGACTGTGGAGTTTGTTGCGTGAACCGGCATTTATTAATAACACAATATTAATTTTAGTGCATCTTGTCATACCGTGTGAGAAGATTCCAATCCATACTATGTGTTGCTACCATGGCAACTGTTAGACCAAACGTTATTTCTGTGTCAAAATTCATCAGCCTCATAATGTTATAGAATAGATGCATTGCCATGCTGAAACAAGAAATCTATCCCATAGGCTCATGTACACTCGGTATCATGTGATTCTCTAGAATATTGAGATATCCAAATTAGTTGAGACGTTCATCACATTTACACACAAGTCAAACACCATTAGCGCTGAAACATTCCCATATCATAACACTGCCACCGCCGTATTTTACAGTTGGTACAAGACAGTTGTCGCGGTACGCTTCATGTTGTTGCCGGCGAACATATACGCGGCCATTGCTTCGAAACATCTCAAACTTTGGTTCATCCGACCACATCACTCGACTCTAACCCTCGTAGGCACACTGTGCGGGTTGTCAGTAGAGGTTAGTTTTAGCTTTCATTTCATTGCGTATTCTTGGTGCTGTTTTGAACCGATTTTGCATACTTATCCACAAAATTGTCTGATCTTTCCGCACTGTTGTCCATCTTGGTCGGCCAGATCTTGGTAATTTTGCCATATTTCCATACATTTCAATATTTGCCAGGTTATAACAAACACAACGCTCAGAAATCCCCAAAGAACGAGCTTTTGTACAATTATGCTGTGCTAAAATCTGACCCTTCATAAAATCCGTAATCTGTAAGGCTCGGGGCACATTAAATTCAAAATTTGCGCGATATTCACAAAATAGGCAGAGCTATCAATGCAAAGTTATGTAAACAGAGTGATAGTTGCTAACAAAGAAATTCCCGTCCTTTGACCATGACTGAATTGCGCTAGAATCGCGATCGGCGACTACAAATTCACAATATCATGAATATTTATAAAATGGGCGGGAAAATTACAATGTTAAACAATTGAACACTATTATGCAAATTGCTAATACCGTGTTAAAACTATCGGATTTTCGTGTCTGTATGATTGAGTGATGGTGCAAAATAATGAAATTGGTTAGTTAGAAGTGTCAATTTTTCAAATCGTGCACATCTCGACAATGCTTTTGATGTGTAGTGTATAATGAAGAAACATTAAATCCTTTTTTCCTTTTTCGAGTGTAATCAAATACATAATCGTTTATAATTCTAGTCGCACGATCTTCATTTCAAAAGTAGCCGATCCTAAATCATGAAAATCAGTCTATAACTAAATAACTAAAATTGCTATAAATACATTTTTAGGACACGAAGAATCATTAAAAATAGTTCCATAATGATTTTAATGGGAATCCAAGGTCCGTATCTCAAAGGTAAATACCTTCTCCTAAAACATTTAAAAATAGAATTCCATTACAATCAGATCAAAATCTCTCCAAAAATCTTATCGCTCGATTCTTGTTTCAATAACAACTGATTCTATAAAGCTAGTAGCAAGTCATGTTTATTATGACCGTACACTTTCAAACCATTCTGACTCGAACAACTTACAACAACACGCACAGGCGCACTAATACATATTTATGTGATGATGTCATAGTTAAGTCGCACAACAGAATCTTGCCCTCATCTGAATAATTCAGTTTATGGCTGCATCGTGTTCCATGTTCAAGTGATTGTCATAAATGTGGGAGTGTCACAGTGTAAGGCCTGGTTATTGTTATTGAGAGGGGCACCCACAGAACTCCCACTCGAGAGGGGGTCATTTCACCGCTAAAATGGGGTAGACAAGACAATAGTACTGGAAATAAAATACACACACCAAAATATCAAGTTAATGCTCCTGGCTTCATTACCTCTCAAAATAATTACAAGAAATAAGCACAGAATAATAAAATCAATAAATTCACTAAAATAGGGAATTGTTTAGGGAAGTGTGCATTGTTGATAACTCACAGTTCCAGGATGTGGAAAGTGATGACAGTAAATGACTTCTGCAACACAACGACTAAGAAATGCAAAAGTCTTGCTTGCAGGGGAACGCTGTTATTCTGGAGGGCACCACACAGTCACAATATCGCAGCAGCAACACACAGGGCAGACCACACATTCCTCAGTTTAGCGAATTTATAGGAATAAATGGCCCTGATGCAAGTACACCACCTAGGTTTCCACATGAGCCAATCAGAATGTGGTCTTTCTAGCAGCTGTCTCACGTAAGGAACTCAGTAGATCGTAAACATTCTTTGTTATGTAAATCACAATCACACCTGACAGATTCCAATTGTCCTCCCAGAGATGTAAACATCCTTTGTTATGTAAATCACAAGCACACCTCGTAGATTCCAATTGTCTTTCCAGAGTAGTATGACTGTCAATCATATGTATTATCATACTGAATAATTATTGAAATCCAAAATGTGGCTCTCCAACGTATATGAAACCTGCGGCACCAATATTGAGCTGATGTAAGCAACCTATAAGTCGAAAGAAGGCACGATGGGGTTTGCCATGCAGGCCTTTCATTCGCGTATTAGCATATAGTTAACTTTGCAGTAGTACTGATAATAATTGAAAACGTTAACCTGTTCGGCAATAAGATAGACACAACCTAAAAGCAAGCTAGTAAATGGGGAAATAGTGGAAATAGCAGGTAGAAATTGAACAAGGATAGGTTGTTATGATAATGAGGTATATTGAATTTCGATTTCGTTTTTCAGGTTAAATATGGCGCAATTTCAATGGAAATTTAACACAGCACATGCATGTAGGACTCTGCTCGATAAAACACATTTTGTCTGGTATTTATTCGGCTGTGCATGACAAATATTATTGCTGCTTATCAATGATTAATCTTCACCAAGAAATTAGTTTGTACCTGAATTCCACTGTGATGAATTGTAAGATTTGCAAGTACACATGATCACAGTAATATATCGTTGTTTATGAACATGGATTCGTGTAATGCATATCATTAGTGATCCAAATATATCTTAGAATAATTAAAAATACGAACTCAAAAAACAAATAAAAAACTAGAGTGTGTAAAATAGTTTGATCATATATTGTGCACATCGTTCGACACACCCATGCCGTAGGACACACGTGTAAAATTACTACTCTAGTCTGGTACTAGTATGATACAAATTTACATATCTGTAATATTTATAACTTGTTCTCATTACTCTACTTATTATTTAATTATTTGTACACACGAGACTATTGAAAGATGGCACGTTCGTTTACATATTCCTGGTCTTAGTCTTATGAGCATGACAAAAACGATATAATGGCATATGTCAGGTGTTATGAATCAGCCTTAAGTCATACATCAGTTAGGAGGTTCAGTAAGCAGATGTGACCACTGCGAATAGTTACGAGTGAATGATGCAGCGGATTTAATTTTCAGGATTATTGTTAACAATGGTTTATAGAGCGACACTGAAATTCATTGCAAGTAAGTTGAAATCTAATATTGGGAAATACTTGGATATCGTGTTCTCTTCTGTTTCAAATGATTGACATAGTTGGCATACATATCATTAATGTGTTTTTATTCAGACTAAACGGCGTACATTATTCTTGTTGTAGATGTCTAAGACGGTTCTGTTGTTATTTTACACTCTGATCATGTGACTAAAACAGTAACGTAGTGTTTAGTCTCCAAATCATACATACATTGTTGTAGTCATTCAAAAAGTTAAATAACACTTCTCTACATTACCCAACACCATACTATTAATTACATGGGTCAGTCAGTGAGCGGGAATGTGTTACCTTACTAAACATATGTTTACGATTATGTATGTTAATACTCTTATATTATTATTATTACTGTTGAATTTCAGTTTTTTGGTTTGCTGCATTCACTGATATGGTCTTGAGCGCCGCAGCGAACGACTCAGGCACGTATTCTCTATATTCCTTTGTTATTGTCATTATCTTTATAACGCTGTAATTGTACAGCATCGAATAGTGTGCATAATATCTTTAAGTAATGCGAATTAAAAGATTACGCGTTATTTACAATTTTTTAGAGAGAACAAATGCAATAGTTTTCGCCACATTTATTATTATAGGCATTGAAAAAGGCGGGAACATTGATGCCATTTATTATATCGTCTGTTAAGTATCTTAACTACGGAGTATCCCAGAACAATTAGAGTACCTTCCCAACTCACTAATATATCTTATAATACCCATATCACCATATTCAATTAAAAGTACATATGCTTTGTTATTTATCACAAGAATGTACATTTCAATCAACCAGCAAATGATATAACAATTAGTTTACAATAATAATGAAATAATTAGTTAATAATCATGAAGATAAAACATTCTAAGTGAGACAGAATATAAATGAAACTGACACAATAATTCGGTGTTTTAGAAAAGTTATTTCCGCCATCACGTGTGCGAAGTCCCGGAAGGCCACTGAACTGTTGATAATGAATGCATACACGAAAGCTAGTGTACGACGTGTAGGAGCGTGATATATCAACATTGCATCAACATACAATTGGGTTATGGTCAGCTGCGGCGGCAACATCATCATCAATATACACCGATGATCAAACGTCTCAGCCTCGCATATAGTGGCCCTGACATTCGAAGAGCTAAAGCGTTAAACACAAAATATGGTAGTTACTGATTGCCATGAAATGCCAGGAAGTTTCAACGTACTGATTTACAGAATTATTATCGAATTGAAACATGAATTTGACGTTGCATTTTTATTAAGCAGATTGGCATATGGCATGAGAACGGCAATTGATTATTACCAATAAAATTGTAGGTGGGATCAGTTTTGCTTGGCAATTTATACATACAAAAAAATTACGAGGAAGTGAAGTTCTGCCCATAATCAGGAAGAAGCCATAAGTGTTCTAGACGCATTTTGAGGGCGTTATCCCGCTTTATATGTATGTGTCTGTAGGATGACAACAGAAATTATGTTTGTGCATCACTTTAGATTCACGCC